GATGTGGTACAAGTCAAATGTCAATGCAGCTATACGAAATGGGCTTCACTAATATTACAAATGTGGATTTTTCTCAGGTTAATTATACCCTATTACTGATAGAACAACTTATTTCCTTTGAATACTTTCAAATTGTACTCGATAAGTTCGTTTTCAAGTAGTTGGAGTAATCGTGGATTTGAACAGCACTTTTTCCATTCATGTAAAGATGATTTATAAGAGCCGCCGCCTTCGAATAAGTGCGACTTCAGTTTGAGCTCTTGTCGTGCTCCTATGATACAGCGATCTGAGTTGATTAAAATTCATCTCATATAGGAAAGAAGATCTAATTTGAACTGTGAAGTAGCATTCTTCATATCTCTCAAAACTTGAAAAAATTACCATCTTAAAGGGTAGCATGAGGCCAGCATATACTGAGACGTTTATAAAGCACTCATCTATTGTGAGTGAATGAAATGTGAAGAAGAACAAGTCAACTAAGCTGACATTGAAGGTGTTGGTCGATGCTGGTCGTATTGCTCATCCAGAAATGGAATGGATATGTGATGACATTCAATCGTTAGAAAAAATTCCGTCAGCCTCCTTTCGATGTCGTATTGGAAAAAGCTACTTTGGAAGCATTGCTTGTTAAGGAAAAGGTATTTCAATGTCGATGAGTACTTGTTGATACTTCGATTCACTTGTTTGGAATTTGAGAGCACATGGAATCCTTCTGACGCCGCCTTGAAGACTATCGATAATGTGTTAAGTTCTGTGGCCCGAGTATTAACAAGCAGAGGTACAAGTTTAATTTTTTCGCATGAATTTAATATTTTGTTAGGTTTTGTTTCTCGACACGGGGCAGGTCGTACTAAGCCTTTGAACTACTAGATCACGGTTTCCAAATGAGCAGGAGTTTCGGGCCAAACAACAGGTCTATCCACCAAAATATTGTCGTTGGATCCTCAACAGCTATCTGAAGCTGGAATCCTTAAGGACACTTGAGCCGAAAAAAACTTGAATTCATTAGATACTAGAGTACAGTAGGGGTCAATGGTGAGGACACGAAAAATTTGAAATTTTACGAACCTGTGGGGGACGTCCTCTATACAACGCCCCCCCCCCATCCAACGTCGAAGGTGTCCACAGCGCACAGTGTAGTTCAGCCTGCTTCATTTTGACAAACTTCTGAAACTCCATCTCCAAAAGTGCTTCGAGCGAGGGTATCATTCGTGACTGCTGAAATGGCAATTTTCGGAATTTCTCCTACAATGGTAAAAGTTCTCAACTTTCTAGAAATTTTCTCTTCCCACGCCCCTCCAAACGACCCCTCTTCTCTAAAAATTAAGTTGTAAGGAAAGTTCTTGCCGTTCGGACCCTGAAGTTCAAATGTGCATATCTCGACTCAAACACAACGTTTTCGATTCGTAGTAAAAACCATTACAATCTACTCTTCCTTGCCAACATTGAGTGAGTTTGATCAATCCATTCGCTGGAAGTGCTGGAGTTCTTGGGACAACGGACGGCGAAGGTCCATTCACTTTTGCTAAGTTGAAATTGGTGGAATTTTTCTCTTAAGGCGCTATTCAGATGGCTGAGAAGTAGAAAGGAATAGGTAAATAGGTTGGTACCTTTGTGCCATAATTCAGTACCAGCTAGATATTTCTGGCAGGGTCGGTTCTGCTGTCGGCGGCTGAGATGCATCTTGGAGACCAGTCGAGCCGTATATGGCAGCCCTTGCTGTGCGCTGTGTCAAGGTTTCGGGGTATTTTGACACCTCGCAGAGAATCTGTCCCATTATGGTAGTACCGACTAGCCAGCGACTCAGCCGAAGTTCGTGGATTATTGCGAAAAATCTATTCAAATCCATATCACGATCCTAACGAAAACGGGTCGTTTTCATTGGACGAAAGACGGTAGAAGAAGGGCAGGTAGTCTACGGAACCGCTGTTTTTTTCGACTTTTCCAGGCTTTTTAACCTATCAAATGTAACATGGGACCATAAATCAGTTGCCTAATTGCCTAAGATGCCTAATTTATTTGCGGCCTTCCCATCGGTCAATTTTATCTTCCTGCTAATTTTTACCACCGCTCGATATCTAACTTTCACCGAGTTTTGAGGCTCTTACCATTCTACACAAGCTTTCCAAACTATCTTTGCCCGGCGCATAGATGCGTGGCAATTCAGTAGTTCCTGTCATGAGCTGATTCTGCTCATTCCTGTCCCAATTCGATTAGAAGAAGAAAATCGTGACGGATTTGCTTGTGAGCATGTTGTATTCAAGGCTTTGAAAAAGTGGGAGCAGTAGATCTTGAGCAAAGCTTGACAGTACCTTCGGATAGAGCAAGAAACGCGCTTTCTAATGATATGCAACACGTAGCAGTCTGCCAAAATAGCCAGAAATAATGCCTTGAAACTTGAACTATCGAAAACGGCCAAGAACTTTCCTTACAATTCAATACTATGTAGCTCCCTCCCTAGAATTACAAAATACGGCCCTCATCGTTTGGAAACTGCCAGCGGCTGACAGTGATCACAGTAATCTACTGGTTCATTTCTGTTGGGCCTCTTGTTCCCGCGCGTTGCCTGAAATCAAACAACAACTCACTTTCTACTCACTCTCACTAGTTTTCTTTTCAGGTGTGTTTATCTCTATCTCGTTCACACAGCCCCATTTTCGAGTACCGGCTCTTCTGCGATTTCCTGGATGGTCTATATCAGTCAACGAATTCGGGGACTTCTTCCACTACTTCGTCTTTACTATGCAACGTGGTGAAAAAGCTTCTCAGGAGATATGCGACCGATTTGCACGCATTGCTCCCGAATGGAGTAGATCGTTAACGGTCGCCGAATGACGCCTCACTTGCTTTAAGTCAACAGAAGTGCCTGGGTTGATTCTGCCATAAATAACTGTGATGTTTCTTTGTTCAGGTTGTTGTTGTGCTAATGAAGCTGTGTGAGAAACTCAAGCAAAATGGCAGGAGAGAGAGGTGTGAAATTCT